TTACGATGGGAGAATGTTGACCGGTGTAAGAAGTACTGGGAAAAAAAACTGGAGGCAGATGCTTGAGAGGAACCAGATTGAAGTGGCAATCCTAAAGAGTGACATTGAAGGTGGGGAGCTTCCAGCAAGGGGGACTTGGAAGCGAGTGTCTCCGGAGGAAGTGTGTGTGGCTTTTCACAGCTTGTGCCGTGAGGCTCTGGAGCAGAGCCGTGCTGAGGAAGAGGACTGGAAGACAAGGATCTTGAGCTGCCCAGTTCTGCTCACAGTCTTTGACTCGCTGCCGGCAGCACAATGGCACGCGCAACAAATTCGAGAAGATTCCAACCAGCAGGCATTCCTGGCACTGACATCGGTGCAACGGATCTTCGACTTCCAAAGAAGACGGCAAGAAATCGGGTCCCATGTGACGCCTGCAGAGATGGAGCAACTCTATAAGTCGAACTTGCCTCTCGGCAAATTAGTTATTATTGTTTTGTCGTTGTAGCAGGCAGGTTTTATTTGACTTTTTTTTCTGAAATTTGGCGGTCCTGACCCGACAGTCGCATCAAGGACAGTGTCAGGCAAGAGTGAGTCCATCACATCCAATCTCATCGCCTGTGCCCTGCGAGTATGGGACCGTGCGTTCACGATTGGGCGGGCGCAGAAAGTCATCCTCGAGCAAGAAGCTCTCCATACCGAGTCAGTGTTCCAGGGAACCAGTAAACTGGATGGCATCGTGAAGAAATGTGCTTCAGATGCAGAGATCGAGTTTGTCTTTCTGCTGATGGCGGACTTGCAAAAGCAGGGCTTGCTAACAGCTGAGCAATGCACATCACGCGCATTGACGGGCACTGCATCCACACACCACAAAGGATTAGTAGACGTCTACATCATGAAGCACAAGATTCGCGCACATTTGCTGGAGGAATTCTTGCGGAAAACCTCGACCGGCTGGTCAGAGAAGGTGATGCAGGAAGTGAAAGCGACCTGCCAGGACATTGAGGTCTTCCGGAAGCGTCTTGGAAGCACGTCTTCCCAGGAAGTACTACCGGATCTGGCATGGAAGGCGGGCTTTCCAGCCTCAGCTGATTGGTTCTTGGTCTTCGTGGAGGCCTGCAGAACAACCATGGGTCATTCAACCAATAACTAATAGTTGATTGTTTGAAACGCTTCCAACTAGTCAGTTTAGTTAGTTATTAAGTTAGTTACGGCATTTCATTTCAAATTTGGTCGACTGATTCGTTGCAACATGTCAGGAAGCCGTCTACAAGACAAAGTACGACCCCCCAGCTCATGGCTGCGGTGCGGCAAAGCAAATCAGTACAGGATGTCCTGGATGATCAGAGTCAACCGCTTGCTGAGGAGCTTCGGGAATTTGAGGAATTGCTGAAGAAGGAGTTGCCACAGGCTTCGGTGGCAGAGACTCCACCACAGGAACAGGCCACTGATCCAGCCGAGAGTGAGGCAGCAACTTCGGAGGCTTTCAAGATGGTTATGCAGGACATCCTTCTCAAGCGGAACTCGGCCTCTCTGACGGAGGAAGCCACCGAGACCTTGAAGCTGGCCGAGCGGAAGTGCAGGGTCTTGTTGGACGCACATGTTGAATTACATGTCATGCCAGAATCCAACAAAGACATGTCGGAGCTCCTATCCAAATCCCCTGCAGCGTCGACTCGGGGTGACCATCACTCGGGTTTGGTGATGGTATGGGTGGACTTAGCGCAGACGGGCGAACCCATAACAGCTCCTCACACCAGGGTTTGCCCAATGAACTCCGTCACCGTCAAGCGCTTTTGCAGCGGTGTTGTGAAAAGCCGCGACAACAGTCAGTGCAGCTTGCATCCAGGAGATCTGTGGTGTTTTTTGGGATTGCGGCCAGTTCAACTTGACCAAGGCCGTAGGCTGCCTTACCAACGAAGCTGGAGAGAAACTGACCACCCATGACCATTGTCTCACACTCTCATACGACTACGAGTCGTTGCGAGCAACGAGGGCTGTGAACCGGGCTAGTGCCACAATAAA